CCTAAAAAAAAAAAAAAAAAAAAAAGTAGGCTGAGAAAGCATATAAGGGAAAAGTTTAATCTTCTGAACTTCCCCTAACAGAACAGCCAAGCACAGTGTTTCCTTCTGTTGTGATTTTCATGAGTTTGCTATAAAATGTCTTCAGAGGTAGGACAGAAGACATAGGCCATAATTTAATAATCCAGGAGCACCATTCATAATACAAGTTATGGATTCCTCACCTTAGGAAAAGTGGGCAAGCCTAAAAATTCTTTTAGACTTTTTTATTGAAGTGTCAAATTTCTTTTGAGAAATTATACCACTGATTCACTTCCTTGGAATGTGATTGCTGGAGTTTTAGGATGCACCAGAATCATACCCCCAGCCAAAGAAGTATTTAAAAATAGAATGTAAAATCTTTAGGTTGCTACTATAAGGTATCAACCTTAACGTTTTTTTTTATGGTTTGTGATACAAATTAAAATCTTTCTTAAATGTTATTTTGTTTTCCTTTCTTGGCAAGTATTTAGAAAAGTCACCTAGTCTTGTACATGTTTTGTCTCTTAGGAGAATGAAGCTGTTTTTCTTTTGGATGATAAATTCATAAATGAAATTAATTTGCTATCAGGAAAAACAAAGAAGATTCCGAGTCTGCAGCCTTTGTTGAAGGATGTTTTTGTCCTGACAACGTCCAGTAATGGTTAAGTAATACTGATACTTCTTTTTTTCCCCCCTTTGGAGGGATTATACTGATATTTCTGAAAGTCTAGATTAAGCATATCTTTCATAGTTTATGGTAATATTAAGGGAAAATTTCAGTTAAGAATCACATTTCATTTTTTAACACAGATGCCTGGCTGGCTGGGGTACTCACCACAGGGGACATTTTCCTTTGGAACAAAGATCAGGATTGTGTAAAATCTATACAAGTAACTGAAAAACCTAAGGATGTGATTAAACTTGCAGTAGGTGAGAATTTTATATTTGTTTATAAAATGGCTTAAGTGGGAGAAATAAAAGGAAAAGTGGATGAAACATTTTCCTATTACTGTTCTGAAAATGTATCTCTGTGTGTGTATGTATATCTGTATGAGTTTATATTTGTGTATATTTATATGGTTTTGAATTGTTATTGGTTTTTATCTGTGGAATCTTCTAGATTCCACTTGAAGAAAAGTGGCATGCCTGACATTTCTGTGATAACAATGAGTTTTCAGTGCTACATAAAGAGTACCTGTTGCTGTTCTTTTAAATTTATTATTTCTGCCGTGTGTGTGTGTGTGTGTGTGTGTGTGTGTGTGTGTGTGTTTTATATTGAGGGTTGAACCCAGGGCCTCGTGTGTGCTGGTGAAGTGCTTTATTGGTGAGCTACATCTTGGTCCTATCTATCTATCTATCTATCTATCTATCTATCTATCTTTGAGACAAAGTCTTGCAAAGTTGCCCAGGCTGGCTTTGAATTTCTTATGCTTGCCTGAGCCTCTCAGCCTCAGCTGGGGTTACAGCTGTGCATAATCATGCCTGACTTTTTACTTCCTTTGTTTTGACATGCTAAATGGTAACATTTGGATTTTTTTATTGCTGGGATAAATTGTCTACTTTGTTGGGAGAGCTCAGATTTCAGAAATTTAATTAGGTGTTTTGGTTTTGTTTTTTTGTTTTTTTAATTTAGCCGGCTCTTCAAGACTACACTTATATGTATCTGGAAATGGGAAAAGAGTTCTGCTTGTAACACCCTCTGGATGCATGTATCTTTGGGAATATCTAGAATTAAAGAATGTCTCATCTTCTAAATGCCTCCCTTTGGTGGGTCGGTGGTCCCAGATCATACCTGAAGAAGCAGTTCTTTTGCCTTCCACTGAAGATAATGAAGCTGTAGTGAATGCTGTTTTTGTAAAAAATGAGGTAAAACCTAAATCAGATGGTATATGGCAGGAATTGAAATCTCAGACTCTTAATCACAGACCCTGCTTGAGAAGGTGTTAGAGAGCATAATGACATAACTCTGTGTCTCTGGTCATTGTTGATTATGATAGTAGTTGTGAAAATATGGTATGGAAAAGATATTTGTATATTTCTTTGGTCACAGTTTAAAAATTAATTTTTATTGAAAGTGCTTTGAGGATAGCTTAGTGGTATAGTACTTGCCTATCATGATCCACAGTGCCACAAAAAGAAAAAATGTGGTTAAAAACTAGAACTTCCTTTCTTTAAATTTAAAATATAACTTGTTTTTTAATTTAACAAGTTAGAATTGGTATATTACTTAAGCCATTTAATTTATCACAGATTCATTAACTAAAAATAAATTTAACATAGCTGCTTCTTACTCTATCTATGGACCCCTGCACTTGCGAGGTAGGCGGTGGAACCACTCAGCTAAATCCCTGGCCCCCTACTCCATTATTGTTAGAAATTACATTTTGATATTTTCTTGCTTCCCTCTCAAGCTGCTGTAATATAAATAAGAGTGTAAAAAAGGAAAAACTAGCTATATAGATGAATCCTTTTAGTTATAGCCACAAAAGTTTAAAATTTTTTTGACTCCGAATTTGTACATCTTCATGGAGCACATAGTGATAATTTGATACACATATGTATACATATACAATAACCAAATCAGTGTAGTAAGAATTTCCATCTCTTCAAACATCAATAATGTTTATGTACTGGAAATTTTGTGCCCTTTTCTAGTCATTTTGAAATGTATCATTGACTCTTTTAATCAGCAGTTACTCTGTTGTGCCACAGAAAAACCAGAAGTAATTTCTCTTGTCTAATTTTGTTTCGGTGCCCTCTATTGTATTTCCTAAGAGCATAAACTGCAAGCTGAGGGGTTGGGGGGGTAGCTCAGTGAGAGCATGAATTTTAATGATAGAGCATAGATAAGGCCTTGGATTCTGTCTGCAATGCCAAGACCCCATTCCAGATTTGTAACCAGATTCCCTCCATGGGCCCACTTCTGGCTCAGAGAAAATTACTTAAGTCTTAAGCTTAATGTTAAGAATAAAAATACAAGCATTATTTTATTTATAGTGAAAAATGTTTATATTTTCTTATATCTTGAGTTATTTTCAAATTAATTTATATTAAAATGCATTCAATTTATCTACAGTTATTTGGAGATTGTTGCTTGTGTTCGTTTACTTTTTATTCTGGGGAATCCCTGAAGCTAACATTTCTAGCAGTTCGGTGGCATGAGAATGTATTTACACCTACAAGGTAAGGAATATCGTTCTTTCTCCTTATTTTCTGTCCCTTTTGAAATATTGTTATTTTTTGGCCCATATATACTTAAGATTTGAGAATGTTAATATAAATTTCAATTTCTGAGTCTTTCCCCCATTCATTTATAAATGTTTAATCTAGAAATTTTTTTGTTTTTGTTTTTTTTCTCTTCTTAAAAGGGAGAGCATGTAAAAGATAAAACAGGCTATGGTTTTACCTGTCATCATATTTAAAACTTAACTGTTTTTGAGAACTCAATTGAAATTTAAAGAGGGCATAACTGTTTGGATTTACTATTATAAATCCTGTTTTTAAAAACTAAAATAATTTTTACTTTTAAAATCTCAATAAAACAGAAAAATACTGTAAAAGTATATAATACCTAGGTAAGATTTAGTAAAATGATGTGATTAAGATTTTTTTTCTGCTTTTTAATTCCTGTAAAAATGTTTATGTAAACATTAAGAAGGTATATTTGGGGGTTGGCGTGAAACATGGCTCTTCTACAAAACTCTGGTATTCAGCTTGTTTCAACTAAATGACAGCTGCTCTTTGGTGACCTGAAAGGGACTTGTAGGGCTTTCGGTGGACTCTTTAATGTTTTGTAAAGAACTATGTACAGTGGACCCTTGAGTTATGACCATCCTGACATATGAACAACTTGGGTTGTGACTACAATTTTAGTTTTAACTTATGGTCAAAGTCTTGAGTTACAACCTGACTGCTGGCCACTTGTGCTTCCAGATGGTCTTAGATACAGATTTAACCCTTAAAGGTTCTGGAAGGAACATTACAACATCCTTTCTTGTATGGGGTTAATTGGGAAATCCTAGCTTGAGATCTTCCTGGAAGAAAATGTGGCCTAAAATTATATAGTAGAGAGACTTTGAAGGCTGTGTAGAGGAGCCTGAGCCTTCAGTTGACCAACTTGAGTTACAGTTAGCCCTCATGAATAAATGGAGTTTGTAAGTCAAGGGGTCCACTTTTCAAAATCATTATATGAGCTGGGCATGGTAGCACCCCTGTAATCCCAATTACTTGGGAGGCTGAGGTAGGAGGATCACTTGAGCTCAGAAGGTAGAAGGCAGCATGAGCAGCATAGCAAGACTTCATCCTAAAAACAAGTGCTCCCCCGCAAAAAAACCCAAAATAAATATACCTTCTATTTTCTGTTATTTCATGGCTTTCTTAGGTCATCACCATATTGTGTTCATTGGGCACAACAAGACCATCTTCTATGTAGTCTAAATCCCAAATGTGAATCAGTAAAGTCAAAAGGAGCTCTGATTTCTTCCTTTTCAAGAGATGGCCTTACCTTGGCAGTGACTCTTAATCAGACAGACCCAAAGGTTTGTAAATAGAATCTGTCTTGGAAAGTCATCTGTAAAAGAGGGATTACTCTAGTTTTGAGATTTGTTTTCCTTCCTTGAAGAGTTTTTTTTTTCTTCCTTAATATTATGTTATGTTCTTTAATTTGATAACTTTCATTCTTTCTTCTTTTCTTTTGTGTTGGTATGGTGCTGGAGATTGAACCCAGAGCTTTGTGTGTGCTAGGCAAGTGATGTACCACTTGAGTTATACCTTACCCTAAATTTGTTTTCTTCTAATACCTTCCCATGTTGATTGGTAAAGTTATTTAAATTAGTTGCCATAATTTTCAAAGCTGGGTATTAGAAGTGATGATCCCTGCTACTGGGAAAAAAAAAAAAAAAAAGGTGAAAAATGATAAAGGAAAAAGAAAAAGGAAGATTAGAGCTTGGACCCTTAACTGAAGTTAAGGTAGAGAAGAGAAAAAGGCTTCAGGGGATCATTATTGTATTACCAGTTGGGAAAGACTTCCTAACTAGCTTGCTTGCTTATTTATTTATTCATTTAGCGGAACCAGTGATTGAATTTAAGACCTTGCATTTGCCAAGCACGCATGGCCACTCTACTACATCCCCAGCCCCCTTTGTAGCTTATTAGTAAGAGACCTCTAGTCTCTTAAGTGATAAAAACAATAAAATAGTTTTAATGCTTTTGTTGTCTTTTTTTTTCTTCTAGGCAACTCAGGTATTATTTATAAACACAGTGAATTTTGTTATTCTCTATGGCAGCCTTAAAGGATGTAGCAATAAAAATCCTATAGTTCCAGCTACACTTATCAGGTATGAACTTGTATGTATTTCTGAATAATATTGTATTTTCTTTTCCAATAGTAGAAGAAATATAAGGCAGTAATAACTATACATATCATTTAGATGATGCAGCTTACCTTCAGCATTTGTGTTTGATTATTCTAAAAGCTGCTTTAAGCTGGGTGTGGTGGTGCACGCCTGTAATTCCAGCACTCGGGAGGCTGAGGCAGGAGGATCGCCTTGAGTTTGAGACCAGCCTGGGCTACATAGTGAGTTCCAGGTAAGTCTCAACTACATAGTGAGACCCTGTCTCAAAAAACAAAGCAAAACAAAGCTACTTTACATTAGGAAAGCCTTAATACTTTAAGGAAGCTGTAGTGAGTTAGCAGATATGCCTGTGTATATTCTCTTCATTGTTTTCTGCATCTTTGGAGGAGTGGATTCATGTGTAAGTGGAGCAATTTTATGTGTACAAGACAGGCTGAAATGAAAAATTTTATTCTGGGAAGATTATATTTATGAAGGGAGGCTGGGGTTTTTATGACCTATTAAATAGCTCATGTCTTTATGTAGTCAGGAGCAACATTGGTAGTGATTTTAGATAGTGCGTGAGCTACCAAGAGGACCATATGTTGGATAATAGAGCACAGATTTCCTCTTGGAGCTCTATATAATTCCCTGTTCTATTCTCCACATTTCCAGTTTTCCAGTCATCCAGCTCTCCGCTTAATTTTCTTTCCTTCCCCAATAGTTCCTTTCCAAAAGTATCACTGGTCTTATTCACTAGGCTGCTTTTTTTTTTTTTTTTTTTTTTTTTTTTGTACCAGAGATCGAACTCGACCTTCCACTTGTGAGACAGGTGGTAGCACCACTGAGCTAATCCCAGTCTGGAGGGCTGCTTTCTGTCTCATGAAACATTAATATCACCGGGGAGTTAAGAAATAACTGCCAGCTTTGTGAAGAGGCAGAGTGCTACTGAGCAGAATTCTACCAAGCTCAGAGAGGTGCCTGTCAAGCAAGCTCCTTTTTCTAGGAAGTCAAATTTATAAATGTGTTACAACTGCCTACATCCACTCTTTCATCCTCATTTTTAAAAATATCTCACCCCTGCTTGGACTAGTGCATGATAAACTGTCAAAGATATTGTCCTTTCTAAATATATTCCCTTCTGCTCTTTCTAGGTCCTATTGGGTAGGTGACATCAGCTGGACCCACGATAATCTTTTTCTAGCTTGTGTGTTAAAACGTGGCTCGCTGGTTTTATTGACCTGCCAAGGCGAATTGCTAACATTAAATACATTTGGTTGCTCTATAGAATTTGGGCCAGCAGAATTTATTCCTCTTCATCCACTTATAACATATAGGTGAGACATTCAAATAGTTCAATTTGTTTGCAGAAGTTTTTCTCTTTTAATCTTATTTTACCACGTGTGTAAAAATATTTTTTTGTCTTTCAAATTATCTTTGTTTTCTTTAAGTCTGTCATCTCAATATGTTTCTTATTTATAGTTTTCTTCTATTTCTTTTTGTGGCTAAATCCGGGTGAAATTTGCACTATGACTACGTAAGTATAAGTTATTTAAATATTCAGTAGCACTAAAAGCTTATATTTTTTGATATAAAAGATAATAAAAGTATAAAATGGCACTTACTATTATGAAAGAATAGCACTTAAATAAATTAATAAGCCAAAATTAATTTGACACATTGTTTTATCCACTTTTTTCCGAAGGGAAAAATTGTTGGTAATAAGAGTTTAGAATTCATTTATTTGTTTATTTGTTTGTTTGTTTATTTATTTATTGGTACCAAGGATTGAACTCAGGACCTTGTGCTTGCAAGGCTGGTGCAGTACCACTGAGCTAAATCCTTGGCCCCATATTTTAATTTTTGTTTTTCAGAGGTTTGTTTGTTTGTTTGTTTGTTTGTTGTTTGGTATCGGGGATGGAACGCCGGTCCTTGTGCTTGCAAGGCAGGTGACAAAACCACTGAGCTAATCCCAGCCCATCCATATTTTAATTTTTAACTGAATTGAGGTAGTAGTTTGATTTTGAAGTCAGACCAGATTCAAAATGTTTTTCCTACTTCTTAGTTCTTCTGTACATTATTCTTTAAGCCTGTGCTTATTCTCCTGTGAAATGAGGGTGACAATAATTGTATTTTAGAGTTGAAGGAATGAAGATGATACATAATTTTAAATCACTAAGCACAGTTCTCATATAAAATAAGTGCATATGTGTATCATTCTCCTTTGTTTTTGGAGGGTTTTTTTTTGGTACTGGGAATTGAACTCAAAACCTTGCTCTTCCGAGGCAGGCAGCAGAACCACTGAGCTAAATCCCCGGCTCTACATAGTACATTTTTAAAGAAGGAAAGTTGGAATAGACCTTTGAAATTAATCTATTTACTGAAAAGAAATTTAGGTATATTCTTTTTTCTTTTGGTACTGGGTATCGAATTTGGGACCTTGTGTGGCAGGCAGCGGAACCACTGAGCTAAATCCTGACCTGGGGTATATTTTTGATTATGCTTAGCAAAAAGCTCATACAGTACATAGTTTTCAGCGACAGATATTGTAAATGGAAAACTGTCATTTCCTGCATTGAAAGTATTTTTTCTGTACTTCTTGTGGTCCATTTCACTTTCTACAATTTGCCTTTAAAATTAATATTTTAGGGTCTGTCAAAATTTATTTTTTCTAATTATAAAGATATTCATATTTTTATTTGTTTTGTTTTGTTTTTTTTTTTGGTACCAGGGATTGAACTCGGGTCTTTGCGCTTGCAAGGCAGACCACCAAACCACTGAGCTAAATCCCCAGCCCAAGATATTCATATTTTTAAACTTAAAAATCATATTTCAAAACTAAATAGTGTAGAAAATGAAAGACTTATACTCTTTACCTCAGAGATAACAATTAACATTTTAGTGTGTTATCTTCTAAATTTTAAAAATATTACAGTAACATTTTTAATAAAAGCAATATTAGTCTCTTTTTTAATACAACATAAATAATATGACGAATGCTGTGTAGTATTTTGTTATTTTGATTTAATGTTGTATCTTGCAGTTTTTGTGGTTTTTTTTTTTTTTTTTGGTACCAGGGATTGAACTCGGGTCCTTGGGCTTGCAAGGAAAGCCACTCAACCGCTGAGCTAAATCCCTGGCCCTCTTATACATCTTTGCATGTTAGATATTATCATTTAATGGTTAGAAGGATTCCTATGGTGTGAAGGTTCTGTGATTAACCAATTACTTATTTTTGGCCCTTTAGCTAATTAAAAATATAGATGTTTAAACAGTTTCCTAATCAGAAACTATGATATTGTGTGATGATTTATCCCCCTTTATGTTTACAAAGCCTCAGACTTAATAAACAGTGATAGTTACTAATCAGAATCAGGCATACTATTGTAACCATAGGTATGTACGTTTATGTGGAAACTCACTTAAATTTAAAGATAATAAAATTTTATTCACCATTATTCTCTCTAAACATCCTGCTTAGTTTGTTTCTTCTCTTTAATAACAAATATACTGATAGCTAATAATTATATTCCTGTAAATATTTGGTAAGAAGGAAAATTACCTAATTTAACTTTTTAATAATAAAACTAAACTGCCTTAATTTTTTTCTGAAATGGTTTGTATAAAAGTTAAAAACAGAGCCGGGTGTGGTGGCACATACCTGCAATCCCAGCACTCGGGAGGCTGAGGCAGAAGGATCACTGTGAGTTTGAGACCAGCCTGGGCTACATAGTGAGTTCCAGGTCAGTCTCAACTACAAAGTGAGACCCTGTCTCAAAAAAAAAAAAAAAAAAAAAAGTTAAAAACAGAGTATATGCCACAATTCAGGAAGAAACTTTAAAATATACATTTTAAATCTCTGTAATGTTTTATGTCAGGTCCATGAATATATATTTAATATTTTGGAGTGTTTCATTCACTTTCTCATCATTGTGTACCTTTTAGTTTTTCTTTGGAATAATATGATTATTTTCTTTAAGATCTTTCTGCTACTGATTCTTGAATTTTAATGTTTGTTTGATAGACCACAGCAGTTTACATTTCAAGATTCAAATAATTCTGTAGATTCATCAGCTTCTGATGACCCTATGAGACAGAGATTTTCTATAAAAGCACATTCTTGGCTACCCTATCTCATTATTTCTGATGGATACATGGTCACAACCCTTCGATTTCTTGATAACCTGTCTCCGTCAGTGCTCATGCGATCACTTCTACTTGATTCAACCCAGAGACTTGAGAAGACCTACCAAAGTGTGATACTGTCTAAGGTATGGTACTTTTTGGTATCATTGGTAAAAGTTGCTGTCTTAGTCACTTTCTCCTCCCTGAGACACAAAACCCAATGCCCACAATTTAAAGGAGGAGAGACTTATTTTGGCTCATAGCTTGCAGAGGTTTCAGTCCATAGTCTGTTGACTCACAGGTAGAGGAGCTTCACAGAGAAAAAGTGCTCACATTGTGTTGGAAAAGCAGAGAGTTAAGGGAACAAAGAGGGAGAGAGAGATTCCCTTCCATGGCACCGC